AGTCCAATGAAATTCAGGTTTTATGGTTGCATTTTTTTTCCCCAGCCATGTTTTTCTTTTGGATTTTTTTTTTCTCAACAGGAAATAGAAAATAAACATCTGATCTTAGCATAGTTAACCTCAAATAAATTAATCTATGGAATGAAAATCAGACAAATAAATCAGGGTGTGTATATTCTGAAGGGAAATTGCAAACTGGAGCTCATGATACAATGTTGCTTGCACAATGAAATGCCTTATAAGGTACTCAAAACATTGAAAAATTACGAGCATCCTTAACTTTTGAAAAGACTGTACAAAATTCAAAGTAAATGACTGAAAGAAAATATGAAACCACACTTGAGTCACATCCATCTTATGTCTTGGAGTCTTCAGGTTGATCTTGAGGTTGAAGCTTAAGAACAGTAGATGAGAGCATACATATATCTTGTACACTTACTGAGTATTGCTGGTTCTAAAACGCTTTTCCAAATACTGCGGTTTTCGGAGATACCATGGTTATTTTGTATGGCAGATAACATATTTTTCCAGTGCATAAGAATCTCAGTAGCCAAGTGTCCTGAGTATTGAATTTATACTATTTCTGTCCCTGAGAACTGGTTCCTGTAAGAGCATAGTGGAATGGACTGGCCAAAGAAAAAAAGGAGAAATTATTCTAAATGGAAGCTCTAATTTGTAGCAGTTTATGTATTTGCTGAAGGTGGAATGACTCATGATTTTTTTGGAAAATAAATGGATTTACAGGAGCCAACTGTCTTCTTAACACAAGAACACAACTGCTTCTGAGATTTTTTTTTTTAATAATCTATTATCTACTCAATTTCTTTATTCAGCTATAACATAGTACAGTAATTCTACTTGAAGAATTAGGAGGGTTAGGGATCCCTGGGTGGCTCAGTCAGTTAGGCCTCGGCCTTCGGCTCAGGTCATGATGCCAGGGTCCTGGGATCAAGTCCCACATTAGGCTCCTTCCTTGGTGGGGAGCCTGCTGCTCCCCCTGCTTGTGCTCTCTCTCTCTGACAAATACATAAACAAAATCTTAAAAAAAAAAAAAAAAAGGAGGGTTAGATGAGAAAATGGAAGAAAAAGTGTGAAGTATCATTAATCTATCCTAGGTCCCTTTGGACCCATTTTCTTTTGTTCCCATCCCCAGTAATGATCTATTAATATGTTGTTGATGTTGATTCTCAGAGCTAAGGTAACTGGGAATGGGGGGGAATGATAATAATTATATCCTTAACTACCTACTTTATTAATTCTAATGCATAAGGAAATGGTAGTAGATAAAAATTAAGAACCCCTTAAATGCTCAAATGTACATGTACTTATCAAGAATATAAATTTTCCAAGGGGCACCTGGGTGGCTCAGATGGTTAAGCATCTGCCTTCAGCTCAGGTCATGATCCCAGACTCCCCATGTCCGGCTCCTGGCTCAGCGGGGAGCCTGCTTCTCCCTCTGCCTCTCCCTCTGCCTCTCCCCCTGCTTGTGCTCTCTCTCTCTCTGTATCTCTGTGTCTCGAATGAATAAATAAAATCTTTAAAAAGAAAAAGAATACAAATTTTCCAATACATGAAAAAAATTCTTCAGTCCATAGAACTGTATCTCTAGATTTCATTTTTATTTTATTCTATTCTTTTGGGGGGGAGGGACAAAGAGAGAGGGAGAAAGAGAATATCTTAAGCAGGCTCCACACCCAGTGGGGCGTCCAGTGCGGGACTCGATATCCCGACCCTGAGATCATGACGTGAGCTGAAATCAAGAGTCGGATGCTTGACTAACTGAGCCACCCAGGCGCCCCAAGATTTCATTTTTAAAGAGAAAAAAAATAAGCTTCCTTATACCCTGGAGCTGCTTGACAATACAACATATTTTCTGTATAATAAATTTTAAAAACTTTACTCACCAAAATAAAAATGACAGTAATAAAGAAATAGCAAGAGAGCACCCATAAACAATACAAATGTTGAGTAAGAGTGTGAGAAAGAAAATTCCATGGCTGTTCACACTTGTCTTAAAAATAAAAAAAAAGGTCTGAAAACACCACTCCACTCTAGTTCGGTGACGCTTTTGTTGAGATTTTTTTTTTAGACGGGGAAGGGAATAATTAATCACTAACAAATTTTGTAAAACATACCTATAAAAGTCAAAGTCAAGATGGGCTTAATTTATTCTGACCAGGGATGTATCAACATAAACATCTCTTAAATTGTTCATTTTTCCAGTAGAAAATTCCCCTCCTGGAGACCTCAGTATTGACTTGGACCCAAGCTAATTCAAACACAAGTTCATTTAAAAAGTAAACGCACAAAATAAACTTGTCCTTGCCTAGGTCTTCAGTAAACAAGAGAAGAGTATGTGTTTTAAGAGAATATCTACATCTATCTTGAACTCAAAATAAAATGTGTTTTTTTTTCTTGACCTAGTTATTGAAGAATCCTGTTGATGAAATTCAGCTTTGTTTTATAAATAATGCATGCTTGCTTGTGAGTAGCTGAACCGAATCAGGTACCCAGTGAGAGACGATATTGCTAGCAGACCCTTACTATTACCAGGAATACACGATATCACACATTTTTCAGGTGGAGGGTTCTGGGTGGCAATAGGTTCAGTAAACCACTCTAGAAGCCAGCAATCCCCTTCCTCCCTGGGTCGGGACTCTTCCTTAACATACAGCCTCTTCCCTGAGGTGGCTGGCTGACAAGTTTTTGGAGCACAAGTCGCACTCAAGGCCCTTTTCCTCACAGGGCTCCTATCTGTTTCTTGTTGCTTCCTTTCTCGCTGCTTATTTCTGGTTTTGAGAGTTTGGTGTGGACTTATATTCAGTTTCTGAATTGGAAAAAAAAAAAAAAAGGGGAGAGAGAAACATGGACTCCATGAAATGTGAAAGCCCGTGACTGTGTAAGTGACAGTGGAATCGTGAGTGAAGATAAAGTTTGACAAGGTGGGCGGACAGCCAGTGCCAAGGGCAGTTGCCTGACAGTGTAGGTGGGCGCAGCAAGAGGTGGGTGAGTCCTTGGGGGAAGATCTTATTGAATTTAGACCATCCTTTCCCATAGGTAGTGCTTTTACCTCAGACATTGATTTCAAGGGTTCCCAAGCCTAAAGAAATAAGGAAAAGATCAAGTTTTAAGAAGGCAGATGTCCCCAGGAAGCTTCCTCTTATAGCTGGTCAACAGGGAAACAAGAATTGCCCTCACCGTGTTCACTGGACATTCCTTAAATCTTTGGGAGGTCAGAGAGCTTTGCTCATCGTCTCCCCCTGCCAAAAAAAAAAAAAGTTTCTTTAGAAGATTTTGAGTCCTGGCTGTGATAAGCTTTCTGTAATCACTTCCAAAATCATTCTTAGACCGAGACTTTCTAGGAGACTTTTGTGGGCAGAGTGCATGAGCAGATCCAAGGGCATTTTGTCTCTCATCATAGTTCTGATATCCCTTAGTGGAATCTCAGAGAGAGAGCCAAGGACTTGCTTCCCTCAGGACTGTGAGGCTGGGGGTGATGGGCCTACCCCCAGAGACCTCGGGTTGTCTTTGCCTGAGTGAAGGTGACCCAAGAGAAGCAAACCCCAGTGCTGTGTCCTGGCCCAGTGTGTTTTCCTTTTCCCAGCTTCCTCTCATAGTATCTCTCTCCCCAACAGCCTCTATAGCCATTGAGAGTAATTAGGGCTTTCAGGCTTTGGGAGGCCATAACATGCCTCTGAATAGATTTTATCCCTTGTCAGTCATGAGGAGCATCACCCGGCATGTCTTCCTGAAAATGGTAGCTCTGGGGGATGTTCGTCGTGTTCCTTGCTGCTCTAGAAGGGAGTAGGGAAGGGAGGATTACATGGTCAAATAAACTTAGGAAACTTTGGTTTAAGCAAAGATTCCAAAAAAACAAAAAACAAAAAACCACGAGACTTGTCTTGTCAGCCTTTTAATAGGACGCCCTTCTGTCCGCAAATATAATTGATCTTCTTAGAAGGTATGGAACAGAGTGGGAGGAGGCAAGCCTGTCATTTGATTGTCAAGAGACTTGACAAGTATACATCATATTTTTATTTCCTGGCTTTCCTACATTAAGAGCCAGTTCCACGAGCTTATTCAGAGTACTCCGGGTGACAGAGATGGAATGAACCTCTTAGTCTGCTAAATATTCTGCTCTAAATATAGCAGAAACAACTAAACTGTGTAGCTGTGCGGATTTGCCTTCTTGATGGTTTTGAGTTAAGGAAGTAAATTGATTCCCTTCCTTCCTTAATCAGCATAAATTTGGTTTACTGATGTATCCCTGATCCTCCTTTACATTTGCTTTTGAACATTGGGAATGCTATTTTCACTTCGTTGTGCATTATTTAAATTTTTTAAAAGTGTTTGTCGGGATTTTCATTTGAGAACTGTATCAGGCCAGTTGGTACCAAATTACAATAGGAGGAGGGAAAGGAGATAAAATGGAAAAAGAGAGCCAAGATGAAAAGCCATTTTAGGGATAAAGTTTGTTTTTATGGGAAGACCTTGTGTATTACCCTTTCTCAATAATGGTGGTCTTAGAGATCTTCCAGTCCAAGTATGTTCATGGAGATGCCCTCATCCAAGGAACCCCCAGCATCTTGTGTACATAGTGGGCACCATAGAAGCCGCTGGTCAGCAGTCTCACCAGCCCGGAAACTCAGAAGCAATGAGGCGGTGAGGATTTTCTGCCAAAGCAAATTGAAAGTAATATAGGCTCCAAAGGATTAAAATTTGTTTAACCCTGATAGATTTGCATACTGTTTATTTTTGCACCATATGGGGGTTATTATACCACTAAGGGTCAAAGATCTGCTTCCATATTTATATGCCTGCAGCTGCACACATAGTTGACCATTAAGATTTCACATGGACAAACCATTAAAATAAAGGAAGAATTCAGTGTTTCATTTTGGTTGTGGCATTCCTGGGGTGGGGGGAGAGGGAGAACAAGCCCATCGTGCCCAGCTTAGAAGTTTTCGAACAATCATGGCTGAATATCTCTAATTTTTCAGGTTGTATCCTCGCCACGCAAGTGCCCTGAACAACCTTGGAACACTGACGAGAGACACAGCAGAGGCAAAGATGTACTATCAGAGGGCTCTCCAGCTAAATCCGCAGCACAACCGGGCTCTTTTCAATCTTGGAAATCTCCTTAAGTAAGTAGAACGTGTACCTTTCATCTGGCAGTCTTGTAATTTCAGGAAATCCTTTCCTTCTTAATACTCCTTTGGTTGTGCTCCTGTCTCCTCTTCCCAGAGTGGAATAATTATGGTTTTCAAGCTTTGAGAGGAAGTCATGTTCATCTGAAATAATTCTATCCCTCCTCAGTCCAAAAGAGTATTTCCCAGAGTGACTCTCTGGAAGTGTTAGCTCTGGGAGATGTCCCTGGGTGGTCTGTAGAGGAGTGGAAATAGGGAAGGGTTACGTGGTCAGGTAAACTTAGGAAATGCTGAGTTAGACCAAGAGGACTCCCCCTCTTGCAAGAATTGTTGATATGCTAAATGTCCTGTGAATCTTCAAGAAGGCAATATGGAATATGACATTGCCCAAAGTCAAAATTTTTTTTTTTTTTTGGTGAGGCATTTCCCAAGTATTCCATGAACATTCTTTGGGCAAAGCGCTCATCTAGGAAGAGCAGTGAGGGCGCCTGGGTGGCTCAGTTGGTTAAGCGACTGCCTTCGGCTCAGGTCATGATCCTGGAGTCCCGGGATCGAGTCCCACATCGGGCTCCCTGCTCAGCAGGGGATCTGCTTCTCCCTCTGACCCTCCCCCCTCTCATGTGCTCTCTCTCCATTCTCACTCTCTCAAATAAATAAATAAATAAAATCTTAAAAAAAAAAAGGAAGAGCAGTGAGCTCTAAAGCTGCGGCTAGATGACATAACCACGACTCGTGTTCAGCACGTACTAGTGCTAAGAAATGGAGCAAGGCCTGCCTTGACTTAGTAATGGTAACTCTTGCTCTTAGGGAGACCTGCCAGGTACAATCAGTCACTGGTGTTCGCTTTTCACTCACCGCCCTGTAAAAGGTTAATAGCGCAATTAGTATCACTGAAGACTAAAACAGGGGTACTTCTGCATCTTGTATTTTTATTAATACAAAGTCTAGGCATCTTGGTGATGGTGCCGGCATCTGTAGTTTTGACAATAACGAAATGGTGGAAGTTGTGGAATTTAACTTCTAAACTTAAGAAAACAGGATGAAAACATCAGAAGTGGAAATTGGGTGAAAAATGTTTGGAATGAGAGTGTGGTGTTGTATTTATCTCTGCTTGTTGGGATGCTGACATTCTACACACTTACTGGGGGCCCCTGGGTGGGTCAGTCAGTTGAGCGAGCATCTGACTCATGGTTTCGGCTCAGGTCATGATCCAGGGTCATGAGATCGGGGCCTGTGTCAGGCTCCATGGTCAGCATGGGGTCTGCTTGAGATTCCTCCTCTCTCTCCCTCTGCCCCTTCCCCCTTGTTCTCTCTCTCTCTGTCTCTCTCCCTAAAATAAATAAATAAATCTTTAAAAAAAAAAAAATCTCCACACTTACTGAATTGGTTTCCAAGTCTCTAAACTTCTAGAGCACTCATCTGGTACCTTTAAAGCCAATGGTTTGCTTTGTTCTCTTGTCCACTCACTAACGGGATTGTCTTCATTGCCTCACTAACTCCATATGATGCAACTTCTTCACCTTCCTGTTTACTCCTTGAATTTGACATATACAGACAGATATTGGTCCTTTTTCCTAATGCGTGTGTTAATGTGTGTTTTTATCTAATCCCGTTTGGACAGAAGCGCTGGGGTGGGTTACTCACAGAACAGTCTAATATGGTATTAGATGATAGGTGCCATCCTGAGTCTGTTTTCTGTTTAGGAATGGCTTTGTCCAGTACCAGAGCACAAAATCAGGGAATACTATACAAAAATAAGAAAATGCGGAGAAAGCACAATTCAAATGAAAGGAATAAAAGTATAAATCAGCAAAAACCAAATACACTTATTTTTTCAAATTAGAATTTTTTGTTACAATTTGATACACATTGAGAATGCTGAGAAACAACAAAGAATGAAGTGGGACACACTGTGACAGAAAAGCCATTTTAGTACTAGTCAGCTCCTATTAAAAACAATAACCAATCAAGAGATGTGGGGAAAACGAGTTCTAGTTATTGCAGGTAATAGTTGCAGGCCAATAGGGTGCTTTGATTTTACTCAACTATTTTGATGAGTTCTTATTTCTTTATGTGACATTCCAAGGACTCATTTTTTTAAAGTCATTGTTGGCATCTGTTTATGCCCTACCTTAGAGCCCAAATAATTTAATGGCCAGATGAAGTCCTGTCAGCATCTTTGGGGTACATGGATTATACAGTACTGATTTTAAAGACCACATTGATGAGTGTTTGTTGCCCTAAAGACCCAGCTTTAATGGCAGTTCTTATTAGGAATAATGTACTGCAGTGATGATGATCATATTGTGCTGAATGGGGCTCTACTTAAAAATGACAGTCAGCAGTCCTTAAATTTCATCTTGCCAAGACCTGAACAAGAGATGCACGCTCTAACGTTCCTTTTTCAATCACATGTTATTGCCATTAACGATCATCATGAATGAGTATATGTGAGTTAAAAGGACAAGGAATTATTTTTTGGACCATGGTAATGGCTATTTTTCACAGTAGGAGGGACTCCTGGATACTGAACATAGCATTTTTTCTCTCTTTGTCAGAGGTTTTGTCAAAATCAACTCTTTTTTTTTTTTAAAGATTTTATTTATTTGACAGAGAGAGACAACACGGAGAGAGGGAACACAAGCAGGGGGAGTGGGAGAGGGAAGAGCAGGCTTCCCACGGAGCAGGGAGCCTGATGCGGGGCTCAATCCCAGGACCCTGGGATCATGACCTGAGCCAAAGGCAGACGCTTACTGAGCCACCCAGGTGCCCACAAAATCAACTCTTGATGATCATCCAGACCAACAACAATGCTTTACGTTTGCATAAGACTGTAGTTTTCTGAGTGCATTTTTTCCTTTTTTTTTTTAAATGAGGCCCTCCTAGTAACTCTTTTTTTTTTTTTTTTAAGATTTTATTTATTTATTCATGAGAGACAGAGAGAGAGAGAGAGAAGCAGGCTCCCAAGGATCAGGGAGCCTGATGCGGGACTCGATCCCAGGACCCTGGGATCATGACCTGAGCCGAAGGCAGACACTGAACCATCTGAGCCACCCAGGCGCCCTCTCCTAGTAACTCTTTAAAGTAGACAGGGAAGAAGAGGGAATGAGGGTCCTGAAAAGTGGAGTACCTTGTACAAAGCCACTGTGGTTTGTCTTTTGCTTTTTTGATTTCTATCAGAGAGCAGAGTGGCTATATCCATGTAGATTATCCTTACAACCCAGTGGAATAAAACCATAATAGCTAACATTTACATAATACTTTACAGTTTACAGATAAGTATTTCCATATGCATTATTTAATTTAATCTTTAATCTGTGAAAGGTTTATCATCCATATCCCCATTTTACAGAACCAAGGCTCAGAGGTCTCATGTGCCATTGGCCTAGGCTCTGGCAGATCCAGGACTGAATCCCTGCCCTTGGACTCCTGTTCTATTCACTTTCCTTTACCCATGCTGCCCAAATAGCCCTCCAACACAAAAATTACTTAATATTTAGCTGTTTAATGACATGTGATTGCCTTTGGGAGAAAAACCCATCATGTTTTTTGTGTGTGTGTGTGTTTTTTTTAAGGAAACAGTAATGTTTGTTTACATTATGTCCCTCAGTAGCAGAGAGAGGTGACCCAGAAAATAGAGCTAATCCACATTTAGTTAACTCTGAGTTTCATTTCCCCTTTCCTTAATATATGTCTGCTATTAAGTAGCAATGGGTCAAAGATGGAAAAAAAAAGATATTTTAAATTGTGTTTGATTCAATCCATTTTACTGTTTAAGATTTTTACCCTGTTTCTCATTAGGCAGCTAGGTTTTTTTAAAATTGTCCTTTTCTTTTTTTTTGTAATTTAGAAGTTAATGCTCATTCTGAGAACCAGAGCATCTTTTTAGACGCAACGTTAGATTTGATCATCCTTGAGAGCAGGGCAATATCTTCATTCCTATTTTATAAGTGATGAAATGAAGGCTTGAGGAAGTAATGTGCCAGGGTCCCTTAGGGAAGAAAGAGAAGGCGTGGGAATTGAACTTCGACCTGTGTGACCACACTGAACTGCCTCCTTGTGGCTCCTCTCAAAACTGGGATACAGCCTGGAGCCTCACTGCCCCACAGAAATGTAACGAGAGCCAGGATCTGTGACTTAAAATTTTCAGGTGGCCACAGTTCAGGACATGAAGAAGGTGGAATTAATTTTAATAGTGTATTTTATTTAACCCCAGTATATCCAAAATATTATCACTTTAGCATGTGATTAATATTAAAAATTAATTTTAAAATTGAACATGTAAAATATTACTGAACTAGTGTGCATTTTTTTAATAAGTAATCCTTGAAATCCAGTGTATGTTTTATACTTACAACCTATCTCAGAATAGTCATATTTCAAGTGTTCAATAGCCACATGGGGTTAGTGGCTTCTGTACCAGACAGCACAGACCTTTATTAATGACCTTGACTTTGAGAGAAATGTGACTCTGTCCAGGCCAGAAGCTCTAAATAAAATGTGATTCTGTCAGAACATCCCAGAAATCTCATAGCACTGAAGACAAATTTCATTTGAATTCTTGGAATTATACGGCGTACAGCTTTAGACCTGTTCATAGCAATAGATTTCAATGAATGTTATCCAAATATATTTGGCCTCTTTCATGACCATTTCACTGGACTTTGATGCTAATCTATTATGATTCTGTGCAGCATATTTACCGTGTGACAGATTGATAAGGAACAGCTTTCCATGCCAGCATTCTTAATTTATATTAATTATTGTTGGCTTTGCTTAGAACCTAAAATGTAAAAGAAAATAGGCAAGATTAGCATAAACTTTTTATGGATGGAAAGAGCAGAAGTCCCTGATGGCTCAAGAGAATATAATCGAATATGTAAATTCAGGGCATGGGAAAATATTTTTGTGACTGCTTGGGTAAAAGAGTTGCTAGTGTTTGCTACTGAAACAGAATATGGAAAGAACCTCTGGCAGAATTACATCATACCTCCCTC